CCCCAAAACCCCAAAACCCCAAAACCCCAAAACCCCACTTTGTACAAAGAAAACTGATTTTTATTTATTGTTAATTTTAAATTATGATGACAGAATGAATTTATCAGGCTAGTCTTGCAAGATTGCATTTCAAAGTCTTTTTATTTATAATATTAGATTTTACTAATGCTACGATCAAAATTATCCACATCTTTTCTCCTCTTGACCCTGATTATTATTCCTTGTCTTAAAAACTTTAAGTTCTTTCCTTTCAGTATTCTCTTCAGACATAGGTTTCATACTTGATTCGTCGAGACTACTATCTTCCTTGTTCTTCTCTTCATAATCTAAAATCAGGCCTAATGCTTACTTCACAGAGTGTCTTGTTCAGTGCAGGAGTCAGGAGCAGCAGAGAATTGATGACTTTGGTAATTGTTAGTTGTGCGATGAGTTGACTTAGGAACTTCATTGTTGAAGATTTGTTCACTGCACTCTGATTCTCGGTTGTTGGGAGATTTTAGGATTTTAGGGTCGGCAGAAGGGGGTTTGGCAGGAACAGAGTGGGCTGGAGGAAGGGCTTTTGGAGAAGGGGAGTTTAGAGGGGTGCTTTCTTTGGTGGGTTTGTTCAGTAGGGATTTTAGGTTTATTACGGCTTTAATTTTGGGTGGGTTGGATTTGTAGGGTTTGGAAGAGGGCGAGGAAGGAAGGGGAAGAGAAGAGTCCTTTTTGGAATGAATGTTTGGGTTGGGAGTGTTGAAAGGATTGGGGCATAGGAAATTTTTGTCAATTGATTTGTTCTTGAGGTGGCCAATAGGGTTGGTGACTTTTCTGCCGGATACTCTAAGTTTACTCAATTCTTTCTCTGTTGCTTTCTGGATGTTTTCATGACTAACATCAACCTCTTTAAAGGAGAATTTGACTACCTTAGATCCAAATTCTTCCTTTGGGATATCATTAATATCTGCAATACTTTGAGTATTTGAGGTATGGCCTGACTTCAGTCAGCCTCTAGAGTTATGGGAATGGCAACTTTTCCCATAAAAATCGAGTTCATTCTTATATCTATGAAATAAAATCTTGATCGTACACATCTTTGGAGTTATTTCTTTTCTTCAGTCTAGAAGCATTCCTCTTGTGAGGTTCACTTTCATAAGGCAAAGAGGATGCTTTCGATAAGGTCCTGTATCTATCCTTGTCTTTTGACATTGCCGTTTGAGAAGGAACTGTTGCTTAGAGAATTTAGAATACCTGGCTGGTACTTGACTCCTCTTTGAGAGTTCTTGAAGTATTTAGTCTTGTTGGCCTTATAGAAATCTTGTTTCTTAACAATGTTTAAGCATGAATTCTCTCATGAGCTGGGGTTGCAAGTTGCATTGAATGAATTAGGTTTTCCGTAGAAATCTAGATTTTAGTTAGACAAATCTACTCTTGTTTTTGGTACTTTGAGCTCTTGAGTGGAATTCTCAGTGATAGCATGGTCATTGGTCATTCCTATTAATAATTATAGCAGTCGCTTAAGTAAATCATACTTTGGTAAGTGCAATTCAGGATCAGGATAATTCATAATTGAAGGATTTCTGAAGTTTAATGGTTGAGTGTAGTTTAGCTGATTGGTGTTTTGATAGACATCAAGCTTTTTCCTCAACTCTTTGATTTCATCATCTTTCTCAAGAATTCTCTCAAGAAGCATGAATTCATTCTTAGACAATGTATCTTTATTTATGGCATTTATTATCTGACGTGCTCTTTTCAGCTTGAATATCCTTATTCATAAATGTAAGATCCTCTTTAGCAACACTTGATCCTTTTATCGATTCCATGAAAGTTGGTTCATGAGTTCGAGTGTTTGATCTGTTGCTTTTGGATAACATGAGTGAGTTTTCAAGCATATTGACTATATCCTTTTGAAGATTGGCTTTTCTTTCTTTAGATCGACTACAGATATCAATTGATACTTACTTTGAGCTAGCATAGTTTCTCCTAAGCTTAAGTGTGCTATTATTGATATCGTTTGATAAAATTTTATCAATACTTTTCTCAATAAAAAGCCTTTCCCTTATCTTGGCCTCATGTTTGACGAACAAGGAATTATTCCGAATTTCTACTGTATAAACTAGAGAATTACTCTGCCTTGTATTTTTGCTGTGATTTCTGGTGCTGAATTCTGACCCTCTCTGAAACCCATTTGGGCAGGACTTTAAGCTCTTTGCTCAGAAGTTGGAAGCTAGAGTTTAGACTTAAGTATTTACTAGATGTATTAGTGTCAGAGGCGGATTCGCTCTTCTTTTGTTTCTTCTCACCATTATTGAACAAGCTTTTTACTGGATAAAAATCCTAGAGAATAAAGAAGGTACTTTACAGGTTCATTCTCTTTAGAAGCAACTGTTTTGTTTTTATGCGCAACTCTGCAAGAAGTTTCATTCCTGAGGAAATTTTTAAGAGACTCCTCATTCTCGGAATGAGGAGTAACTTTGTAAGAATTTACTTTGATACTATTTTTATTTTTAGAGACCTTTATTTTGTTGGAGAAAGAAGTTTCATCGAAAGAGAAGTTCGACCCTGCACCATCATCCTCTTCACTTATAGTATTGATGACTTCTTTAGTATCTTTATTGTCAAACATCTTGACTGATTGTAAAGTATGGGGTTGCTGGTTAATTTTACTCTCACTTAATATAGAAGTTTCGACCTCAGAGGTTTCTATAAGATAGGTTGGATTCCTTACCACAAAAGCTGGAAGTGGCTTGGCTTACTAAAATCTCTCCAATATCATCGAGATCAAATATTTTGGCAAGACAAATGAGTTTCTGGATGATTTTAATATCTCTGATTTTGGCAAACATTTTATGAGCCTCTTTCTTAGTCAAGCTGAGAATTTCATGGAAGTTACTAGCTTTGAATAAATGAGTGTCTACCCATTTAGGAAGTAGGATTTCAATATCTTTATCCTCTGGGGAAGATTGCAACTTTTTACTCAACTTATTGCAGTGCATTAGAAATTTATTTCTCAAGATAGCGTATTTCTCACCGTTATGAAGTTTCATAATGACATAAGATTGCTTCTCTTTCACCCGGATTGGAATACTGTCTTCGTCGATGTTGGAATCATACGTATCTAGTTTGAAAGATCTTTTAATGGTGCTGTCTCTTGATTTTGCATCATGACTTTTGTTATTGAGCTCCCTGCTTTTAGACTTCCTTCTGATCTGACTTTTTACCTTATTTTATTGTACTTTTAAGAGTATTGAGGTAGCCTGAGGTTTTATTTTTATGTTTATGAGTCTATAAGGGATATAATCACGTAAATATAATACAGCTTTGTCACTGTGGAACTTTGAAGCATATTTTGTTTTGCTTGAGGTAGTGAAGCTCTATATCGTGTTAATTTCTCTTCCAAAGTAATAGCATCTTGGTGAATACCTACCTTGTTGGTTTCTCGATTGTGATGAGGCTTATTGGTATCCTTAATCTTGATAAATCTTGGTTTTGGCTTTGTATAGTTATCCATGATTTCTTAAAATTTTAACGTTAATTTTTCTAAATCTATATTGGTTGGGCATAGAGGGGTTTTGGGGTTTTGGGGTTTTGGGG